AGATTAAAGCTGACTGATTTGTGATTTATAATGTGTGATTTTGTGATTTTTAAAGTAACTGCAGAGCAAGACGTCAATGTGAGTATAGGTTAATCAGTTTTTGGTTTTTTTTAGCAATATGTGGGTTTATATAGAGGTTTTAGTAGAGTAACAGACCCATTGGTCATGACATGCATGCTGCTTAATCTGTGTAGTTGAGAAGAATTCAAGATAAAAGCAGTCTGGAGTTTAATCAGTAAGACCGTTAATGCTGAGATTAAACAGATGATCCTTGGTGATTTCTCAGAAAAACTGATCTGCAGACACTGTTCAGAAGAATAATGTGCTTTCATTAAACATTTACAGAAGAGGAAACCATGAAAACCAAGTAAAGAAAGAGGGAAACCGTTTAAAGAAGTGGGGAAAAGAGCACGCTGTTCAGCTAAAACGACCTCTTGATTTTACAAACAGAAAGACATGAAAGAAAAGGGAAACCTTCCATTCCAATGGATCAAAAAATAGCCAAAATGGCAACGACTGCCAATTATCAGCTCCAGAGTGATTAAAGAAGGACGACAGTTACCTGTGAGGACTGTAACGATTAGAACGCACCTATGTGAAGCCAAGATAAGGCAAGAAGCCCCTACAAACTCCCAACTGTTGGAAAACTTTTCTGTGGAGGCTACAACTTTACATATGATGAGCCTTAAGAGCATTTTATGACCTGGTGCAACATTGTTGTTTTTGGGTCTAGATTCCACAGATAGTTGCCACAGTACATTGTAAAGCTTGGTGGTTCAGGCGTCATGGTATGGAGATGCTTCTCATACTATGGTGTCAGACCTCTTTCTCGCACACCAGGAATCATGGACCAGTTTGAATACACCTAAATACTCGAAGAGGCCATATTGCCTTATGTCAAAGAGGAATGCCCTTAGAATAGAACAAAACAACCCCAAATAAAGCAGAAAGCGAGCAGCATTTTGTTTTTAGAGTGGCTAAGACCTATACCTTAACCCAGTAGAAATGAAAAAAGTTGTGGAATGTAGTTCAGTCATCGTGGACTGGAAAACCTGCCCACAGGTTATACAAGTGTGTCTGCTCCACTGCAACACTGATATAAAGCAGTTCTCACACACAGTGGTTATATAAAATATTCAGCAATTTTTAAATTCCTAGTATTCCTTTCTATCTCACTTTCTGTCGAGTATGTACTGTGAAAGTACTCATGAAAGAACAGAGCATTATGACATCTGCTTATCAGATGCAGCAGATCAGTCCCATTCCGCTCTGTACCAAATGGTGCTGCATTTGGGGGACGTGCTTTTAAGCAAACAGCTAAAACCAGCTTGTAAAGGAGATGGAGATTAGTCTTGTTCTGCTTTAGATCATGAAGACTAAGATCAGTTTAATTGAAAAACACAAATTGTCCCCAAGCCAAGTAAATAAAACCAATAAAACTACTGGCCTCTTATTACAGTGCTTAGTATTATAGATTCATTTTATAAAGAATGTCTTATTTCTGCATCTTAGTTAATTGAGTGATAATTTATTATAAATATATTTTCGCTATTCTTTTTTAAGTAAAGTTTTGACGCCGTCACCATTTGGACACACGGGGGCGCTGCACCGGAAGTAGCGTCACAAGAGCTGTTGTAGCCGGAAAAGCTGAATTTAGCAGCCATGAAGATGACAGGGGAAGACGGAGCTGAGGGCTCCGAAATAACAATGGACGATGTGAAGAACCTTATTAAAAAGAAAGATGAAATTGAAGAGCAGATAAAGGCTTATCACGATGTCTTAGAAGATGTGAGTTGGACCCACACGCAGTAAAGTTATCAGGGTTTGTGCGGCGCTGAACGTGTGTTTCTCCTGTTGTTTCCAGCAAGGTGTCGGAGTTGAGGGTCCCCTTGTTGACGCTGAGGGTTACCCCCGAGCAGATGTTAATTTATACATGATCAGGGACGCGAGGCACAACATCTCATGTAAGCAGCTGTTTCTCTACGCCCACAGCTTGGTTGCTGCTGACACTTTCCTTTGACCTACACAACGTTCCCAAGACTATTCACTCATCTTACTCCACAAACTCACAAACTTGAGTGACAGCCGAGGCTTTATCCACACAATGTCGACCGACCCTTTGCAGTTATAACAGGTTGTTCTTATGAGGTCAGACATTGATGTTGGACAAGAAGACAGGGTTCGCAGTTTCTGCTCTTCATCCCAAACGTGTTCCGTCAGGTTGAGGTCACATTATAATCCCCTCTGCACCAGACGTCACACAAAACAGTCAGCCAGGTGGTGTTCTCCTGGAAGATGCCAAGCCCAGACTCGCACCTTGCTTTGCTGGACAGAGAAGCATGATTTGTCACTCCACAGAACATGTCTCTCCTGCTCCAGAGTCCAGTGTCAATGTGTTTTACACAACTGCGTCTGACACTTTGCATTTCACTTGGTGATGTAAGGCTTGGGTGAAGCTTCTCTGCTATTAAAAACTCATTTCATGAAGCTCTTTATGTACTTTTCTAGAGCTAATCTGAATAACACGTGAAGTTTGAAGGTCTGTACCTACTTACTCAGCAGAATGATGGTGACCTCTGTGCTCAATGTGGCTCAGCAGTCGAAGCCGTTGGCATGGCTGGATGCTGAATAATGGAAGTAATTGGATCACCGAAACTCAATGATTTGGATGGGTTATTGTATATTTCATGAAGACAAATGGACAGACATTTCTATCTCGGGACGTACATAGCTGGTAGAGACATAAGTTGCAGAGAAAGGGGGAGTAAATACGAATGCCTGACATTGCTTTCAGATTTTTTATTTTTTTTTTATATAAAGATCCATGCATTATTTTCCCTCCACTTCAGAATGACACTTTGTACTGGTCTATCACATAGAAACAAAAAAAAAATGAGTTAAAGTTGTAAAGTTCAAGCAGTATGAGAACTTTTGCAAGGCTCTGTAAAAAATATGAGACCCTCCTGTTTGTAACTCCTCTTTCTGAAACAAGTAGATAGGATGCAAAGGTTGGTCAGCTGTCAGTTTTACTGATCATCTCCCACTGGCACAGGTCATATTGATCATTGCTTTTGAACAAACAAAATGTTGTTTTGTTTTGTGTCAGGTCTGCAGAATGACCACAAAGCCATCATGGCACAGATAGAAGAAGCTCTGCACATGCTGCACGCTCGAGAGAAAGCAAAGAAGGAACGAAATGAAGCAGCAAGTCAGGAGGAGCCGATGGAGCAGCAGGTCACCCTGCTTCCTCCCTTTGCTCGAGTAGATGCTGTCACCGATGGCTCGCCTGCTTCAGGAGCTGTGAGACATTTTTTCTGCTTCTCAACTTCGTAAAACTTTCACAAAGTGTCATTCATGTTGACACTCACACACCATTTTATTTATGTCTTTGAGTCTTGATTGTCTTTTGCACAGGGGCTCAAAGTAGGAGATGAGGTGATTGAGTTTGGCTCCGTGAACACAAGCAACTTTCAGAACCTGCAGAATATTGCTGCAGTGGTGCAACACAGTGAAGGAGTAAGTTTCACTTGATTTTATAAAAAAATAAATTGTAATAAGGGTTTATGAGCTTGCAGCTAATTTTAGGTTAGAATTATTCTACTTTTAAATTATTCATTTTAGTTACATTTTTTAAAAGTGATGCAAACCTGATGCTTTGATGACAGTTATACTTTCTGAAAATGCGTCTCACCCAGTGTAAACAGCTGAATAATGTTCGTTTTCAGAAACCTTTACGGGTCGCCGTGATCAGAAGTGGCCAAAAAGTTCAGATGAGCCTGACTCCACAGCGGTGGTCCGGCAGGGGTCTGCTGGGGTGAGTGTCATATGTAGGCAGCAGAATCAGTTTGGGGGTCTGTAGGAGGGTAGTTTTTAAATTTTCACTGTACTATGTAGTGATATTGGTACCGATAGCTTTGTAGTACTTGTGTGGTTTGTCATTAGAATACCTGTTAAAATCATAATCCTTTCTTCTTTTTTCAGCTGCAACATCGTTCCAGTCCAGCGATAATCCACAGAACCTTTTTGGCAGATTTAAACCTGGGAATCTTGATTCTCCATTTACTTCCCTGGGTGTTTTTTTTTTTTTGCTCTTTACAGCAGAAGCTGGATCTATTTTCATTTTTCAGTTTCATATTTTCTCCATTCAGTGACTAATAAAGGAATATGTCAAAGCAAAGGGGGTCACACTGAACCGGCTACTATGGAAGAACTAAATAAACCCTTCTGTAATACATGGCTTTTGGGTTGAAGCTTTTCTTTTGATGAGGAGCACGGAAGAAGATGGGCGTTATTATTGCAGACAGGATGCTTCAATGATTCCTGACCTGCGCGTGCATATGATTATTCTGATTGAATAAAAGATGTTCGTGAAAATCCATGAGAATGTACAACGTGATGAGCATTTGCAAGAAATACACTTTATTCCATCCTCATGGCACACACTCTTAATAAAAGAAATTAGGATTAAATCAGGGAGTGATAAAAGTATAAACCACTACAACTGCATTATTATAGGCAATTATATTTTTTATAAATACCAGTGATCAGTTTATGCAGAGATGCTCTATAACTAGTTGATTGTGTGGGTTTACCTTTTGTGTTTATCTTCAGTTGTGTGAGAATTTTACATATTCATACTTAATGTGTGTTTTATAGTACGAAAGTTATGGGAAATTAGCTCTTAGTGATTTTATGTTTTCAGTTGTAAATTAGACAAGAAACATGGGGGCACAACAACATGAAAATAGAAAGTGCTTCTGTCTGCAGTTTAAAATATTGAAGTCAGTCATAAAAACACAAAAGGCTATAAAATACTGATATTTTCCAGAAAAACGAGAATCTTTACAGTAAAAGAAAGAGACATTCTCACATTCTGACAGTTTTTACTTAATGCAGGTTTCCTGCTAAAATCATTTGTAATGCTTATTCAGTGCAATAACTGCCTTTGGGTAAAAACTGTATTTAAACCATATTGTTTTTATTGCCCTGGTCCTTCAATTTCTCATGGTGGCACAGTTGGTAGAACTGTTGCCTTGTAACAAGAAGGTCCTGGGTTCAAATCCCAGCCTGGGGTCCTTCTGTATGGAGACTGCATGATTTCCACAATTTGTGGGTTTTCCCTGGTTACTCTGGTTTCCTCCCAGTTAGGTTAATTGGATGTGGATGGTAGTTAGTCCTGTGATGAACTGCTGACCTGTCCAGGGTGTCCCCAGCATCTCACCCAGTGACTGCTGGAGATGGGTACCAGCTCCCCCATGACCCTGCAAGGGCAAGCAGGTATAAGAGATGGTTGCAACTCCTGCCTGAAGGCACAAGCTCATGCAGCCCATGTGTCTGTTTTTTTTCTTTCCTTTGAGACAACAGGAATAATGAGAGTTCATCCAGGTTGGGGCAGTGGCGATAACCCTATGGGGTTGTCAGTCTCAATTCAAGTTTCAACCAAATTCTGTTATCAAAAAATCACGCTGGCGTTTTTGGCACCTAAAAAATTGCTTTAAGAAGCCAGTGGCTTCTCTGTAACTTGAGAATTTTATCCTAATATTAGTGGGGGTATATGTAGATATTTGAGCCTATCTGTCTAATGCAAAGTGTTTAATAGGATGAATCGTATAGATGTATGTATTCTGAAAAGCTCTTTAAAATGGGTTAGTTTTTCAACACAGAAAGAAGACCAACATTTATAGAGACATGAATTTTATTACGTAAAAAACACCACACGTCCCAGCTGCAATCTTTTAATGAAGCCGACATCGGCTGACATTTGTGTTTTTTCCAACATGAACAAAATAACTGAGCTATGAGCTTGAATGTATGTTTAAGGTAAAACAATCTCTGTTCGCACAGCAGAGATTTTTCCCAGGATGCTTAGGGAACAAGGTGAGGTGTCGCTTTTGGAGCAGGGGACAAAACAGTCATCAAGCAACTTGCTTCAGTTTCTTCTTTTTGGGTTTAACCATCTGGGGTAGTTGGATTTTAAAGGCTGTCCTACAAACAAAAGGATGTTTCATCAATACTGCCAACCCAACTATAAGAGTGTTCTACTGTTCAGAGGAAATAGATTTTCCCTGAGAATGTGGTAATGTCAAAATAACAGACTTACTCGCATGTTGTGCAAATAGGACTGAAGTTGCAGAATACTGGAAGCAAACAAGAGAAACACTGTCACCACAAACAACTTTCTACCTTTGAAATGCATCAGCATCTTGTGACGGCGTGCGGCACTCACTGGACAAACAAACTGAGCAGACATAACCGATCTCAATGAGGTTACGGTGGCAGAAACAGGCGGCTCTGTAGTCCACGTGAGCAGGCGGCGGCAGCACCAGCTGGGAGCGCTGCTCCGAGTCGGGCAGGAACACCCACTGTTCACAAAGCACACACACTGATTTCACCTTCAAGCTCCAACGACTGCAAACGGCAGTAACAGTAGCGACACTCACCAGAAGATACTGAGCCAGGGCTACTTTCTGTGGTATTTTCAGGTACAAGCCTCCTGTTATGTCACAAGCCTAAAACACAAACATCACTCCTGGTAGAACCACTTTCCTTTGTCATACCTACAGACATTTTGTCTTTATTCCACCTTCTCAGTTGTAATGCTGCATCGCTATACCTGTATTACAGCAACAAAACTGTACCTGCTGAAGAAGCCCCGAGTCTGAGTCCAGCACACACGCGTCTATCAGGATGTTCTGGTGAAAATATAAATGGAATTGTTGTTTTTGTTTGTTTTTTTTTACAATGAATTGAATAAATTCACTAGTGAAAGGTTAGTTTCAGAGCAGATTGGTTGAGGATTTGGTTTTACCTGTTTTTGTGCAGCAAAAATCACGTTCATGAAGTTCATGTACTGGAGAGCGCAGTCATCAGCTGCTTTTATCACCTAACCAAGACGAGCAAAACTAACCATGAGCCCCAAAAAGAGATGTGCAGTTCTGCTGTAGCTGTTATGGGATGTTGCATATTAACAACCGTTGATTTAAAATCCTTTTCTATATTCTGCTCAGGGAATTTGGTTGTGTGGCTCCAGTACACAATATCTACCAGCAGGAGGTCGCTCATAGTTGTCTGGTTTGATCAGGGGGTCATAAGCCGTCAAAGTATTGTAAGAATCAACTGGTCGACACAGGGATCAGAACAAAAACCAACAAAAAATAAAGTTTTATGATCAAATTACGTGAGCATTTTATGGGCTGAACTATATTTGCATAGCTACTGTAAAGATTGGTTGGAAAATGTGAATAAATTACACTTAAAGCATCCATCCTGTTGTGTTTTTTTTGTATGTAGGTGATGTGGCTCTCTGCCCGGGTTTCACTGTGGTTAGCATTGCCTTGCAGCAAGAAGGTCCCGGGTTTGGATCCCAGCTTGCATGGAGTCTGCATGTTCTGCTCAAGCATGCGTGGATTTAGGTTGGTCGCTCTGAATTGCCCTTAAAGGGGACATATCATGCAAAATCTTTTTACCCTTCAAATACATTTTGTTCTGTACTTGGAGTCTATAGGAGTGCAGAAAAGTTTAATTTAATCTCTCCAGGTGCTGCGTAGATATCTTTATATTCTGTTTGGGTCATATTTTTCAGTCCGTTCACTTTTCTTTATCTATTGCGTTTTTCCAACTGTTACATCACAGTAGTTTCTGTAGAACAGCTTAATAAGGTCATGGACTTCTGGCTGATCAATTTCATGTATCCGCCATTTTTTCTCTTTATGCGATTTTTTTAGTCCAAGCTCAATATGCCTAAGCTGCAAGACGATAAGTTCGGTTCAGCTGTTGGGTTATTCAACCCACACAATTCAGTACACCGTCCCCCAGCATCAGAACCTCTTCGAAGTGCCTGGTTAAATTTTATTTTTTATGAAAATCTACCCACATCAGTGGGGACATTTCTATTTCCCCACTTCAAGGACAAGTGTCTTAAGCAACCTCTGCCAGTATCAAGAAGGATTTGCTGAAAGACTTCGTCTGAGTAAGAGGTCAGTTCCTTCTGTCTATGGAAACAACAGATGAAGCAAAGCAGTAAGCTGCAAATAACGCTAAAATGACAAACTTTATTTTAGACACAAATTAATTGTCTTCATATGAAGTCCTGGCATTGTTTTGATAGCAGTAGCATCGTGCCTTCTGCCTATGTTAGTGCTGTGTGCTGCTTTTTGATCCCTCAAGATATAATAATAATATTCAAAGCATGCAGTGCGGTTATAAGTATTATTATGCTGTTTTTGTCTTGTTTCTGCGCCGCTAGATAATTGTTATCAAACTACAAAAATGGCCGAACGGGTCAAAGTGGAGCATTCTTTGACCTGTAAGGGGGCAGAGTGTGAAGTGCCTCAGCAGCATTTAAAGAGACGGCACCAAAACGAGTTGCTCTCAGACGCACCTCAGAACAGGGGTAAAAGAGGAGCCTGTGGAGCTACAATAACAAGGAATCTAGACCAAAGCGTTACAGTTCCACTTTATATAGCCACAACTGAATAATTCAAGTGTTAAAAGGAAGAATTTAAAAGCATGATATGTCCCCTTTAAGTATGAGTGTGAGCGTGGTTGTGTGTACATGTGTGGCCCGGCGATGTCCAATGACTGCTGGAGATAGACACAAGCCTAACCTCCAAAGGATAAACATTTCTAAGACTATTTATTGCCATAATTCATCAAAAAAAAAAAAAAAAAAAACCTACCAGGAGAATAAAAGACAGGGACAAAAAACAAAAGCAAGTAAGAAATAAAAAAAGACCTTACCAATATCCTTGATTTCATCTCCTGTCCAACTAAAAAACAAATGTAGCATTTTAGCATGCTAATAGAAGAAATGAATGAAATGAAGAAAGCTGCAGTTTAATCTGACATTACCTTCTAACTCTTTGGAGAACCTGTGAATGTCTACATGGTAAAGTTTTAAGGACAATTTGCAAAACAGCTCAACTTCAATAAACTAACTGCGGCCATTTCTTCTAAAGAGCAACGCAAAGCTGCACAGTTTACTCACCACCATCACTCCTAACAACAGCACAGGGAAAATAAGGTGTAAGCTTTCCCGTTTAACATTTTTACCTAATCTAAAACTGTCTGCACTCTGCAGTAATTTGCAAACGTTTTTTTCTTCTTTTTTTTTATCTATGTCTGTAACATAGACAGGTACGCTGCCTTGAAGGGTGCCGCTCTGCCATTGAAATAAGCTGTAGGGGTCACTTTTTTTTTACCCAAATACACAAAGACGCACCGAGCCAGCCTTTTCTGATCCAATACCAATTTCCAATGTTGTGTGGAGCAGAGTTTCCTTATGGATAGGTTTTTCCCACCATTTCAACACAGCATTTTATGGCCGTTTAAACTCCACGGTGCATTTAGGTCAAGTTATAAATAAAATGATATATACTTACGTTACTCCAAAATCATTAAATATTTCCACCTCAAATGTCAAAACGGTCTTGTTTAACACTTCCTAAATAACATCCTTGCTCATCTACAAGTGTTTTTTCTAGTGCCCTGGTTAGTGTTTTCGCATATGTGTGTTTCTTCTAAATGTTGCCTCATCAGGTCCAGAAATATTAGGAAGAGTGACTGAATAAGACTGAAAGTTAAATGTAGTCTGCTGATGAATATGTTTTCCTGGTAAATGTTCTGCTAACCACGGTACTGAACAGCCAGTTTGACGTTGCTATTGAAAAAAAGAGTTAAGAGATGTTGCAGTGGAGCGCTCTTATTTGGTATTAATCGAGAACATGTTGAAGTTTTCTGATAACATTTGGATTTTCAATTTATTGATAGCAATATAGAGTATAAAACAGATTTTTGGTCTTATTTTGTATTTTAATAAAACAAATACAAAACAGCACTTGAAGATGGTTAATTAAGTTTTTTTAGAGGTGTTGTATATAACTGTGGTGACATTCAATGACAACAAAATTTGGTTATTTCAGGAAAGAATTGACACAAAGCTTTTTCTTTGAGGTCTGATTCTGCTTTGACATTTTCATGAGTCAGTGTCTGGTCGTGTCTTAGATTAACCCCTGGTCCAACACAGCTGATTCTAACCGTTACAAATTAAATGATTCCCTTCACATGTCAACACGT